TTGTCCCTGACTGAGTAGATCGCTTCGTTCAACATGATCTCACAAGTCTCTTCATCAAAGGATACTTTTGCACCTCCTTCTCTTGCCTTGGCGGATGCAGCAATCCCTTCATCTTCGGATTCGTCCATGAAGAGTTCACCGCCAATGGCTGGGGCTCCAGGCTTCGCCTTAGGTTTCGGTTTGGGTTTTGCCTTGGGCTTTGGCCTATCGTCTCCTGAGTCAGCTGGTGCAGATATCCCTTTCTTAGGAGAGGCTTTTGGGTCATGGTAGAACTTGCAATCCTTCCCTTTGTCACAAGTTCCTCGAATCCACATCCAACATACTGGCTTGTCATTCTTTCCGACAGAAGGTCCTCTGGATGGTGATCTGGGTTTCTTGTGACTGAATGGGCAATCTTTCCCCATAGTGCAGTTACCCTTCACGAAGAATTTGCACGGTATCTTCTTCTTGTCTGTACTCGGACTTCGGCTGCGATCCTTTCCATCACCTTTACCTTTCCCCTTTCCCTTTTTGTTCTTGTCTTCAGGATGCTTCTTGGGATTGGGTTTCGGCTTCACTGCAGCAGCGTCTTCTGAGACAACCTGTTCTTGTTGCCCTTTTGGTTTCTTCTTTGGATCAGCTGGTGCAGCTTTCAGTTTTGGAGCAGGTCCGCCTGGTTTGAGATTCTGAAAGATATTGGCCACATTCTTCACTGCCTTCTCCTTTTCCAGGATCATCCTGTCTTCAGTTTGCCGTTCGATGTGCCTTCTGATCATATCACGTAGATGTTTGTATGTCTTCTTGGCATCATCGTCGTTCATGCTATTGTAGGCGCTGATGTCGTATGCCATGAGGTTTGAGTTCCTGATCTTTCTCCATAGGAGATCTCGAAGAGTTTCGTCGCTCGGGACGTCAACGGGCTTCATTCCTGCCAGAATCTCATCCCAAGTGTGGAAGAACAACGATAAGTTCTTGTCTCCTTGATATTCTAGTTGGTAGAGGTGCATTGAAGTGTATAAGACTTCCACATTTGATGTTGTCTTGAAATTCATAAGGATCAAGGCTAGGACCTCTCTTCCCTTTATGAGGCTCGATGTTCTCCCTTTTGCATTGATCCTCGTCCTCAACTTCATAGCTACACCTGAACCATCATCTTTCGCATCCATGACGACCTTGGTAAGAGCTAGGCCGAGTTTGGCATCGATTGAATGGAATCTTTGGTCTCCTGAGTCGACAAACTTGTCCGGATCAGGATCGTCCATGGCTTCTTTGATCCAGTCGATCCAGGGCTCTTGATCTGAATCATTGGCCGCAATGATGATCGATTGAATGAGATTTGCCTTCCATAATCCAATATCATTGATCCTGGGCCATGACGGAACGTTTATCTTTGATTCTTCCTTCCTCGATACTTTCATGACAGTAGAGGTTGCCGGTGCAAGATGAGATGAAGAGGATGCCTCTGTTTCTGAAATCTTGTCCCTCAATGATTTGTTCGCCTCGGATAGCTCAATTGATTTCTCCCTTTCCTCGGCGTACTCATTGTGGGTTTCGGCATACCATTCATACATCTCATCTCGGCTCTCTGTCATTTCATTGTACCCGTCCTTGTAGTACTTCGCCTCCTCTTTCGCGTTCCGAACCTCATCTTCCTCGCACGCGTGGGTTGGTAACCCGCGGTCTCTGGAATTAGGACGCTTGCTGTACCGAGAGACTATGGGTGCCATTCGTACTTCTGCTTTTAATTTCGCATTTTCCATAATGACATTCTTTGTCTCCTTCTGGCTTTCCAATAGTGCATCCTCCAGTTCTCTGATCTTCTGTTGAATTTCTGCACCATCATCGCCGAACATAGGAGCTCTCATCATATTCTCTCTTTTCAGCTGTGCGTTGGCTTCGGATAGAGCGAGGTTGACGTCTTTCAATTGTTGTCGTTCACGGATGGAGCTTTCTAGGACTTCGTTGTTGAATATTTCTCCTTTTGCGATAACCTCTTTTGCGACGTTTGCTTCGTATTCGTGGTGGCTCGCCCTCGCATCTGCCATTTCTTTAGCAGAGACTTCAGTCTGGCATATAAACATCTCCATCCTCATGCCCACTTCCATCTCTCCCATCTCCGCTTTCGCGTTGAGTTCAGCTCCACGTGCCATAGCTAGTTGACCTCGTAGATGATCAATAACCATAGCTTCCTGATTGCTCTGATCTTGAGATGAGTGAACACTGTGTTGAAGACGTCTTTCCCTGACCTCACTGTTCCATTGTTCTTCTCTCTGGTGTTGGATCACCTCGTGCATGTTGACATTCTCATCCTGTAGCGCAATCATTCTAGCTTGTATCTGGTCAGCTATTCCAACGAAGGCTGTGTTCTCATCCTGAATGGCTTTTGATCTTCTATTGATCGCCAATGAAGATTCATTCTGTTCTTGGATGTGTCCAATTGCTGCTTGAAGTTCTTGGGACATTCTGTCCTTCGTTGCTTTCACAGATTCAAGCTCTGAATGTTCTTGATGAGTTTCTTGTGCAAGCTCTTGATATCTCATGTAGATATGTTCAGCTGTCGATTCCGCCAAGCGTAGCTTGTGTTCGAGCTCTTCAATTCTTATTGTCGCTCCTTCATCCTCCTGTGTCATCTCCTGTAGATGTTCCTGCATCTTCCTGTTGTAGTCAGACATTTGCCTGAACTCCACTTCAGCCTCGTGGTGTAGTCGTGAGTATCCGGCTTGGATGCATTCATATTCTTGATGAAGAAAATTGTATGCGTTTCTCGCCGATCTCAATTCTTCACCCAGCTGAATCTCTCTTCTTTGCTCTTTTGTTCCTCTATCATCGTCACGTCTCTTCTCTATACTCCTTCTTGGGGATCTCGCGGTAGACGTTATAGGCGATGTAGATCTTGTTGTAGCTCTCATCGATCTTCTTGGTCCTACGGGTGCAAGATCGGTCAGATTCCGAGCCGGTGGCACGGATCTTTCCGAGATTTGTGATCCAGTAGGCATAGTGATAACGTCAGCATTTGCTGATGAGTCAGTACCCATTGTAGAGTCTGGTGACGAAATGGTGTTGGGACCACCAGGAGCAGCGAATGAATAGGGTTCGCTTCCATTTCCTCCTGAGCTTGACATTGCAGGTTTCTGTAATGACTAGTCTTGTTCTCGGTCTCGTGTAGCTCGTACGGCTATAAAGAGCGCGTACGGCTGATAACCTGCGAGTGGATCTTAATCAGCGAAGTTTGAAGCTATCACTGACGGTCCATAAGCGGCGTAGCGTCGGAACGGAAACCGCACCTTTTCTAGTCGCTTGATCCTTGAGCCAAAGTACATATGATACATATATATATATGTACATGTTGCACTGTACATGTCACTGCACTTCCATTCGCAGTATTATACCTGTAATACAACTGTATTTTATTTTACTATACAAGTATTATACCTGTATTGTATATATAAAATAGCTATATTTTATTGTAATATACATGTATTATACGTAAAATATAGTTGTTTATAGTTTAACAAAATCTGTATTGTGATTGTAATATATATAATAGAGTTGTATTACATATGTATTATAGTTGTATTTTACCAAAATATATCTGTTATATATAATATATATATATATATACTTGTTTTTTTGATTTGTAATGTAGCTATATTTTATTGTAATATACATATAATACATGTAAGTTATGATTTATTAATGAAATACGTATATATATATATATATATTTTGAAAGAACCATATGAATACAACATTGATGGAAGACATGACAAAATTATTAAGGATATATCTTTTGATATGAAATATGTTATTTAACAATATAAATATAGATACATATGTATGAACATAGAATATTAGTATATAAATAAATGTTCGTATAAGCATAAAATAGTTTTTGATAGTTAAATGTCGAAGATACAGCATCTATAAACAATTCGAGTATATTAGAACGTTGATATTTAGTATATATTATGTATGTGTAATAAAATATGTTTAAACTCAAATTAACCCAATAATGGCGATGTCTCAGCCTCATAATAAAGACATATCATGATATTTTTTGATTGAACAATACAATAAACATGTATAAATATATATAAATTAACAAAAATATATTACATAGATTTCTTATAATGTAATAAAACGATATTACACAAAAAAACATAAAACAACAATTCCTGGGAGGTCTTGGACACCCCCCCAAATCAAAAAAAACAAACAAAAAAAACAATTCCTGGGAGGTCTTGGACTGGGGGTGGGGGGGTGTCCAAAGAGTCTGTCAGACTTTTTACTTTTATTGTTTTTTTGGGTACTCTGCATTTTGTCAGAGGACAGCAGTTGAGATGTCCTTGGCAATTCATCTGAGTAGATCCTTGAAAAAAAATACAAAAATGCACCTCCAGATCACTGAAAATTGATGAAAAAGTGCACTCCCAGGGCCTGCCGTTCTGAAAAAGAATGGGGCAGGTGTTCCACTTTTCCTGGGTATATAGTCGGCATCATGGCTGAATCATGGCTGGGCACAGCGACGATGCTGCGACGATGCCCTTCTGAAGAGAAGCCCTGCAAGAATTCTGGCTGTACACTGCGACCAGTGCTTTCCACAGGCAAATCCGCTGAACACACGGACTCCGCTGCAGACCGTGGTGTAAAAGCCCCATATCAGAATTGCAATGTCCCGAAGTCACGTTATCGTGTTTTCTTACTCTCATCGTTTTCTCAGTGGGCTCTCTGTACTAGAAATGCGAGTTTTCCGGCTGTGGGTGTGAAAGCAGCCATGGTCGAAAGTCAACAGTTCCCGTCATTTCCATGCATGTTCCTTTCGGGTAGTTATCGTTGTTTTTACATGTTGACTCTTATTATCGTTTCAGGATGTTTCAGGGCCAGCAATGCAATGCATTAGTAGCGGTAAGGGGCAGGCCAATACCATGTTGAGCGCCGGGTTATTACACTAGCCCGCCCAAATAAACATGTTAGCTTGCACAAATGGAATCAGGTGCTTTCAGGAAAACAACAATACTCCATCACTGGATCAACTTGGGCATTTTCTGAGAAATTCTAGTCAAGTCCTCTCTCTTCTGTGCACCACGTGGCTGCTCTTTCATCTGCTTCTCATACTCTTTCTTCTGCTCCTCCGTGGTCACTTCCTAAGCCGCTAGCTCTTGACTATCGATATCTATCTAGGCCAACGTAGCCCCAAACCAAAGACCCACTTACTGTAGAACGATGGAAAGTTTCGATCCATGACATGAAGCAAAAATATGGAAAAAGCATCAAACACCCACAAAGACAAGAATCAACACCGCATGCCCTGTCTCCCGAAAAATGAAGATGATCTTTCCACACCTCTCTTCCTCTGAAAAGCTCGCCGATGTGGCATGACATCGCAAGCACTCCCCTCACGCAACACTTTCCTCCTCCCACCAATCAAAAAAGGAACAACATGGAACAACTATATACAGCACCCTCCAATAACTACCAGCACCTTACAATTGGACTCCCTTCTTGTTCGAGCTTCCGGAGGCTTTTGTCCCTGCCAGCGTTGCGCACATGCAGAGCACACGACGCCCCAAGCACCGGTCACCGGCGGGCCCTGATGAGGACCGAGGGCGGCCGTGCAGCGTTGTGGATCCCAGATGCCTTGAACCTCAGCGCCGCATCAGTCAACTCCACAGTCCGGGCAGAAGCTTAGCCATGCGCTATGCGGCCAAGTTTGGAGGCTGTTTTTGGGGGAGCCCTGGAGGTGCCATATAGATCGTAGGGGGTCAGGGGTAGGGGACTGCTTATTGGGAAAGTGTTCCTTTTTGGGCACCCCGAAAGTCGGGAAGGAAGACGTCCCGATCTCTTTTCGAGCGGAACTCCGTTTCGGCATGAATCGAAGTGAATCGAATCACGCCAACAGTCGTGCGCAAGCCCTTGGAAACAAGCATTGATTTGACCTTTGACAAGTGCAGCAACTTGCAGCGGCTGCTTTTCCAATGAAGTGCCATTCAAGAAAACCATGGCTGATGGACAGTTCAGCAGTCCATTCTACTTTGTCTGGATCATATATCTGTCTTCACAATGGGAGTCCGCAGTAGATGTCCATTGGCGCAGTCGGTGAGCAGAGTGAGCGAGTCTTAAAGTGTTCTTCGACTTCCTGTTTGGATGTTTGAATTGTACGACAACACCCGTTGGTGCCTGCAAGCAAAATACTGTGCACATCTGTGCAGGTACAGTCTTTTGGCATGCACAAATGCAAGGATTAGCAAGGAGCTGCCGTGTGAACATCACAAGCACGCCGGGCTCATGGGATTGTTTCGCTGGGACGGTGGAGGATTTCGGTCGAACGGCTCGTCCAAGACTGTAGAACGAGGTACCAAGTGGACCTCGAAGGCTCCAACGCGGCTGGGCACGGCATAGGCATAGGAGCCATTGGAGGGGACCAAATTGAAGTCTCTCTCCCACTCGGAATAGCGATCATAAATACCTCAGGTCAGGAGTGCGGTGGGCGCATTCTTGTGCTACGGAAGGTGACGAAACAAGTTCGACAACTTACAAGTATTTAAAGGATACTAATTAGGGAACTGATTAAATGTAGAAAAAACACACAAGGTAGAGACGTCAAAGCTTCTCGGATCCATTATATCATAGAATGCCCAAACACTCCCTGTATGCCACATATGCCTACATCGAGCGCCCAAACCACCCCAATGTAGGCATATATATATATATATACATGGCAGTTCCATGGAGTGTTTGGGTCATATCAATAGAATAGATTCATCCCATTCCATCCTATTCCACAAACACAAGGCCTCCAAGTCGGGTATCATCAGGTCTTGGCATTGGCATGACTCTGTATGGCCGGACAGGTTCGATCATGACAATGCCAGGTATGGACACCTGGATGCTGATTCAACGTGCTTTACAGGAAGTGCCGCGGATGTTGGTAAATCAATGCCATCCGCGAAAAGCGCGATGCGTGAATCCTGCATCACTCTCTTGGGGGCACCTTCTGCTTTTTCCCGGGCCAAATTTCACCTGCAAAGCCACAAGACCAACTCAGTAGGAATCTTTATGCCCCTGAAACTCGCATAGAAATTCAATCGTAGAAGACTCTCGACTACTTGGTCCCCACAAACCAACAGTTTCCGGGCTCTATATTGGCTCCATTTCTTGGAGGGACGCATGCAAGCGTCGGTCAAACAACTCCAACACTCCGGGGTTGCAGCATGTTACAGGCTCTGGACCTGAAAGATCAATCTATATACCTCCTTCAAGCCCCAAACCCTGCAGTTTCAGGCACCTTGAGCCTTTTTGACCTTCACAGGACTCTCCAGGGTCAGCACTGGAAGCGGAAAACCTCGAGAGAGGCGTCCTTCCAGGAGCTCTTGCAACTCACCGGCGATCTGCTTGTACTTCTGCCTGAGCTCGAGAAACTGCCGTTGAGCCCGGGTCGAGGAGCTCGGTTCGAGGTCATGAATCGTCCACTCGAACAGCTCCTCTCAGGTGGTAGGGTCAGGCGCACACGACCGCGGTTGGGTTTCAGGATCGGATTTCACACCGAGGGCTGCAGCTGGGTGCAGCTGGGCACAGTTGGATGGTCTCAAGGCTGATCGGCAGGACCCAGAGTCAGAGGAATTCCAGACGGGCGAATCCAGGCCCTCCAGTGGAAAATCATCTGAGAGCAGATTAGACCAGCGTCCACGGCGTTTGTTTAACCACTCTGCGCACACATGACATGTCCACATTCCGGACTGCCGCAACAGCATCTCATCGCCCGGCATCCGTTTGTGGAAAACGGATCGTGGAGGCTCCCCAATGTTCAACTATGAGTTCGCTAGTCCCCATGACCTCGGTTCATCCTGTGACCCCAAACTGGCCACTAGGACCCCAGGAGCTCGAAGAATTGGGACCTTCGAAAGGGATGGGAGATCAATGTACAGGAAAGGTGGTACACTCTGGCTCACTAACATGGAAGTGGAGACAATAGCCCCTTGGAAGTTGGAAGGCCTCTAACTTTCCTCTACAAAGAAGGGGGTTTTCACTTCCATGTGAGTGAGTCGGAACTGACCCCTGACGGATGATGGGATATGATGGGTATAGCCACGCGTTTCACATTTCACACAACCTCATGACTCAAAGACCTGGTCTAGTTCGAAACTCGCCAGATTGCTGGTCAACATTCCTGATGATCCAACATTACAATAGTTTCAGATGAGGTGGCGCAATCCGCGGGGAGTTGATATGGACCCCCATCTGTCTAAGATATCTTCGGGGTTGTGCCATATACTCTTGAAAGCGCTAGGTCCAAGCAACAGAAGTCCCCAAAAGGTCCACCAAACAAAGATTCCGTTGCAGACTTTGCAGCCAGCGGACCCATTGTTGTGTGCGGGCAGGTAAGAACTGGTGCTCCAAAGCATCTCTATCACCAAGGCTCCTCCCCTGGCAATGTCAAGCACTTTCTTCATCACTTCCTCACAGCGCCCGTCTTGGGTCCCAAGCCGGCTTTTGTGCCTGGTGAGTGTATTATTTCATCTTGGAGGTGTAGAAGCTCTGCAAGTACAGGATGCCAGGCTTCTAGCAACACCTTACAGCCCGGCCCAAGGTGAACAATTAACAGGATAGGGAAATCTGGGAAATATGTATATCAAGGAATCAGCATGCAAGGGGGGATCAACTGGCTGCGTGTGCATGGGTTTCTTTCCAGGTGAGAGCATGTTGGAAGGGAAAATTGATTAGATAATTATAAATATAACTATGTAATTAGTCTTGGAGATCCCCCCCATCGCATTCTAGTCCAAAAAACGAGAGCTTTATCCCAATTTGTGCGAAAGCTTGCTGTGTTGATCAAAAGTGATGGCTGGAAACTAATGCCATTCGAATGAGCCCCAAATCTTGGAATCCAACGCTGCCAAGACTGGCTCCACTCTGAAGGTGGTCTTGGATGCAAATACTGGGAAATCTGGGAGTTGATCACTCAAAGTGAATCCGCAGTTACTGAGTCCTTAAATGACGTTTATTCGATATGGCTTTGGGTCAAAACGGGGGTGGCCTGGTTAACCACCAAAAATGAACAGAATAATGCAAAGACCGGATTAATAAACCCCCGGATTAATGCCACCAATACTACTCTCAATTTGGGCCATGCGGCTTTGTGGGCTCGGATTAGCTAGGGGAGGTTTATTCATCCTATGTTTGCATTAGACTGGCGAGGTGAACCTACCAACGGATTAGGGCCCTTAGGGGTCCAGGGCACTTGACCCACAGCAGTGGGGTGGCCCCAATTCCCCACAAAAGGTTAAAGGATGTCCGCTGAATGGACGGCATATAGTGAAACTCTGAGGTGGAACATGCTAAATTCCACCATGCTTGTTGAAGCCTGTACTCAATATATATATGCCTTTCTTTTTGGGGTTTCCGGGTTTGGTTTGCTGGCACATGTTTGACAACCCCCCAGTAAGAGTGTTAAAGAATTGTTGGTTGAACCTCCCCGCCAAACTCCCTTGCGCGCCCGCCCGCTCGATGAAAACTGTTTGGACTAGACCACTGAGATGCTGGAAACAAAGGATTAATGGCAGACTCAACCACGGGGTCCACACAGCAGTGGCAGAACATCTTGTTTCAAAGAGGAACTGCTGAGAGAGGAACCTGTTGGCTGAGAAACCCATGAGGTTCATCCCATGAGGCTCAGGGGGCTCAACATGTCCTTGCTACACCCGTGGTCCAACGAAGCTGCAAGAGCGGCTTGGATAACCCTTTCACCAATTCCCCATCTTACTGGTCACCCCATGCACCGAGTCAGAGGAAGCAAGCATGAAGCTGTTGTGCACCTTCAACCCATGACTCAGTTGTTGGCTGCTTCCCCGCTTCCCCATGACTTGCCACTTGTTCACTCGCCACCTGAAACCGATGGATTTTCAGTGGCTTAAACCGAGGGATTCCGGTGTGAACGTCTCAGGTGGGATGTGGGTGGTACCATCGAAGCAACCAATCCAACCAATCCAACCAACCCCTTGGTTGGTTGGATGGTAAGGTTGGTTGGTACCATCTATTACTCCATCTCTGCTGAAAAAGATCCCAACCTCACCCAGAAAAATGATGCGCACCGCGCTGCTGGAGGCACCAACTCCTTGACGGGCACTGCTTGCTTTTCCTTAGAAAAGGAGGGGGGGGTGGATGCCAAAAGCCTGCGGCTCTAGAGCCTCCAGACTGCAATTCACTCCATGGCCGTCCTTTTCTCGCCAGAAAACAAACCTTTGGCACTCACAAGTTATATAAGCGCGAGTCGTGGTGTGTCTGTTTGTTCTATGCATCATGATTTGCCCACCTTGATTGAGCCACGGTTACCACTGTCACACTCTCTCTCTCTCTATGTAATTTGGCAGGCCAGGGAAACCACAAAAGAAATCAAAAGAATGTCACTCCACTGCACAAGTATGACCGGACATAGCAGGATGAAGGGAACTTGAATCGCCCAACCATCAATGGTTTAATCATGTTTAATACACTAAGTGTCGGCTGTCAAACAAAATTGCCGTAATGACATGGCCCCTTGCTTTGTAGAGGAAAGTGAAAGGGGTTGAGCTTAAAGGTCTATTTTCCAAGTCCATGTCCTTGATGAGATGACGTTGTCAGTGAATCCAAAGGACATCTGGTGTGCGAGAGCGAAAATCCATTACAGTAATTAACAGTTTATGGTCCTTGCTTAGCTCTCCTGGTTATGATGATGAATTCAGTCATACTTGTCTCACTCATTCTAAAGTTCTAAAGCTTTCTCTAAGATGTGCGTCGCACGCCGCACGACGAAGCTTTCCAAGTGTCTCTTCCTTCCAAAGCGCCACCAGCTTGGCCACCATTGCTGGTGCGCCGCCGTTGGGGTCGTCCAGGCGGCTTCCTATGAGAACCATGAAGCTCAACAAACACCCAATAAAGCTCACAGTATATAAGCTCATGAAAGTGGTCGCCCCATGGCCTCATTTTTTCTTCCAAAAGCCATTGCAAATCGTTTCCAACGCATACTCTATTCTACCATATTCTACCAGAGATCCACGAATTCCATCCCGATTTCCATACGATTCAATCCCGACCAAACCACGCGACCCATGTCCACCTCCCGGGCGCGTTATCGGAACTGAACTCAGCGCGGACCATCGACAGTCGCGGCCGGCGCGATCTCCTGGGACTTGCGGTGGCGCTCTTCGGCCGCTCGGGCAGCTTCACCCAGAAGTCGTCGACGTCGCTGTCGAAGCGCGGGGACATGGCCCAGCCCGACCCGATGGACGTGGATGAAAACACCTGGCCGCCCGGCCCGGCCGGACGCAGCAGGTGGAGGTCGGCAGACACCGAACGCCGGACTGGGCGACACCGGCCTTGGGGACGGCACTGGGAAGTGGAACATGGTCACCATATATTGCAATAGATGACGGTTTGTGAAGTAAGAGCTTTCAGTCTATGTTTCCAAAGCCTTGTGGTTCCCAACATGTTTCCAACATAATCCCTAAAACTCCAAGAACCTCCTCAGAAGGTATTTGCATCCTTTAAACCCACCCCAAACACCTTCCCAGAAGGGTACTTGGAGCCCTATCTTGCGCCCAAAAGAATTCCTAGGAAGTCCGCTTGGCAGATGTGCATGGTCCACCCAGTTCCCCCCATAGTGCCCAGCCACAGAAGTTGACCCTGCCAAAGGCAGCCGCGGCTCGCGCTCCGCCATGTGACCTGGATGTCAGGGGAACACTGGGAGTTCTTCACCTTCACCGATCGAACATGATGAAGAGTCAGGTGCACCATTCTTCAGCCGTTCTTCAGCCAAACGGATGTCCATTGGTGGTTATAGGCATTTTGGATCATTTTGATACATGTTGGGATCATTATGGATCATGTTGGGCCTATGGCTGAGTATCGTCCCACCAATAGACTTCTAGAGTTTGAAAGCCCCCACATGGACGTGCCATGCAAAAACCACCCAGATGAGGAGCCCGTCGAAAAGGGGAATCACTCCGCAACTTGGGCAGAAATGCAGCTACACCCAACACAGTGCTCATGTGTCCTGCCCTCTTTGGTACCCCCAAAAAGATTATTCTTTCAGAGTAGGTCAGCCCCACGAAAAATCGCAGTGCGTGTCTGGTAAACTGACCGTTTGTCCTATAGTGGTTTGATCGCATGCACCGGGCGATCTGGCGATCCAAACCCTCCAAACGGAGACTCGTGCCAGCCCGTCATGACGAAAGGTCATGAATATGGATTGAATATGTTTTTACTGTCTTTTGTTCCTTTCTTCCTTTTTCATCCCCGTGCGGAGTACCGGCAAAAATCTACCCTGCTGCGTGCTCATGTTCAAAGGCCAAGCCCACCTGAACAACGGGCCACGCTGCGGAGTACCGGCGCGTTTCTACCGCGGGGTGAAACATCCGGGGCCCAACGCTCCAACGGCTGCGTTGGATGATGAATTGGTTGGTGAAGCCTGTGGCAACAGGAATCCCAGAATTGGTTTTAGGGTGAAACCCATCATTTTGGAGGTGAAAGCCATGTTCTTTTAGACCAAAATCCAGTGGTCCTCACAACAACCCTTGAGAGGCGCCTTCAGCACACGCAGCGCCCTGGACGCGCAGCAACTCAAGAAGCTCCACGAAAAAAGCCACGCCTTTGCTTCTTAACTTTCGTTGGAACCTGGCAGTGCGTTGGAACCTGTTGAAACTTAACTTTCGTTGGAGCCTGGGTAAAGGGTCCCTCACGCTCATACTAATTCTCAAAAGCTTAAACGGTCATGGCTGAACAAGCTGGACTCACAAATACCATGTGGGAGTAGGCACCCCCATCATGTATATAGGGTCTATTGTAAACATCATATACAATCAAATTGGTGCAGCTTAAATTATGAAGAAATGAAGAAAAACCCTGGTGGCACTTTCCAAAACGACATCGCCGAAGCATCGTGCGTTTCTGCCCCTTTCCCCAGGCAGCACACCGGCCGGGTCGCCCTGCCACTTCTCTGCGCGGTCGTCGTCTTCCAGTGGCAGATTCGGAGGTCTCATGTCGCCTCCAACGGTCGAGGCGCTGGCCGTGTCTGTGCTGTGCGGATGTGCGTGGCGCTGTTCTTCAGAGATATCTTGTTCTCTGTCTCTTGATATTAAGAATCGGTTGGTTTCTTCAGGTCGCTGGTGCAACTGATCTGGAACTCCTTACTCCTTACCCCCCCCCAAAAAAAACTCAGAATGCCTCCTAGAAGGAGACGTGTTAGATTGCTTAATTATGTGGAGATATTATGATCTAGTATAATCTAGTATCGCCATCAAATGTCGCACAGTTGAGCCACTCTGATTGGTGGATAGGATCGTTCTTGCCAGGTCTCCTTTGTTCTTGTGGACCCATTGTTCTCGCGACGGGTCGTGTTGGTGCTAAAACCTGTCACAAACAGGGTTCTGAATTCTGCCTTGCCCCTACTCACATGCTGCCTAGGCCACATCCAGCAGCCCACCCTCGAAAGTTGATACAGGACCATGACCCTCCAGTCAACTACCCCAAAGACTGCCCTCTAAGAAGCTATGGGAAGATAACTACCCCTATGGTCATTTCCTGGGAGGAAAAACGGCTATGGGAGGGGTAGACTGAAGGAATCTGACTGCCCAAAGACTACCCCTATGTTGGTCACTAGTTTCTGGGAGGACAAGGTTGAACAGTGAGCCCATCCGGAGGCAATCCCGGCGCAATCTGGGACTTCCACCATCGTGGAAGAATTCCAGCCTCAGCCAGCGACCAAACATCTAAAACAGCCAACCCCTCATCAGCAACAGGGTGTTTCTTCCCGCTTTTTTTCGGGCGGAACCTCTGAAACTGTCACCATATTTTGTCAACACATTTGGTGAGCAAGCTCCTCCCTTTGGACCTCGCAAGGACCATGCGACTGTGCGTCCATGGCTCTCCCTTCCTTCAAATCAGTTGCCTGGAGAGAACAGATCAAACCCCAACAGATCTGGAGCCAACAGCTTGGTCAGTGAGGCTCCAGATCTTGCTGTTGGATCCAAGCGGCTTTGCCCATCAGTTGGGCTTGGACGGCTGGAAAAGCGGTCCGTTTGAGGTTCATCTTGTGACCCCGACTGGTCACGACGAAAAAAAACGGCACCATCGACAGTGAGGGAGACTCTTGGTCCCTAAAACAACCCAAAAATGAACCCACCCGTTACTGAAGAGGTTTGACAATCTGTCTGGAGGGTTCTTCATAGCCTAGAAATGCCTAGAATCTGTTTTGTAGACACCCCCCCTTTTGAAGAGGTGTCCAACTCTTCAGGCGGCATCCGCGTCGGCACCTCGTCACCGCCTCGCTCCGACTGGTCTTTTTCCGTCGGCACTTTTCATCTGCATCCGCTGCTGAAGCTCCAGCTCTTCGTGCCCCAAGAAATAAGACCTGAACCCGTGCTGCAGGAGACTTCGGTCTGGTCTCCGTTTGGGGCTTCAGAGCATGGCGTTTGTGTCAACCAAACATGGGAAAGAAGACATTTGAGCCTTGAAAGGCGAATAGCTAACCTTACTACAATCCGTCAAAATAGTGCTCTCGTCTCAACTCTCAAACATATAAACTTAGTGGTGTAGTGAGACAGGGGTGGTGGTTCAGCGAATGAAGCGATTTGATTGTGCATATTGCGGCCATTGATTGTTTTAAACACCAGATTATCTCCTAACAATACAGGAAGCTATGCCACGCACCGAGAAAACTTTTGTATAAATCCTTGACATTATACAAAGCAGCCCCATTAAACTATAATGTTCTGGTGCGAACACTCACATCCTACATAATGCAAACAAATGCATAAATATAAACAATTATAACCGGCTACAAGGCAAGATAAGGCAAGTCAGGACCCCACAATCATGCGCACCGCAGGAAATGAAGATCATCTGAGGATTGGAGTTGTTTGTCCACTGATGTCAGAGGGGTTTCGTCTGTATTGGAGCCTGGCCAGGCTTTGAAGATCAAGACGAATCTGAGGCTATAGCCACCTTCTCGAGGGGAGAAGCTGTAAGAAACCATCCCCCTCAAAACCTTCTCCAATGTGGGTCTGTGACATGGGACCTGCCACAAACAGCTTCTTCATTGACTGTTTGGGCCACCCGGCTCGTAGCCAGCTCCGAAGCGTTTCGCCTTCGATCGAAGGCCGACAAAGTGAATGCTGACATCCTGCCCCCTGCCCAGTCATGTATCGGAATTGATCCATACGAGTCACTACGAGTCACCGAAGAAAGAACGGAAATCAAGTATGTGATCTGGTTGCGAGTTGACCACCAAAGATCATACTAAAGCCACCAAACTAACGATATTATGATATACAGTATCTATATATGAACGATTGCATTTGTCTGATTCTCCTGCTGTAAAATTGTGAAGCTGGGATTTGTATGTAATGCGCCCATGCGGGTGTTTCATGCCAATTGGTAACTGACAATGGACTGAGGAAATGGCCACAATGAAACAACTCGAGCACGATGAGCTGTACATGAAAACCTGCAAAAAACACCTCAAAACCTGCAAAAACACCTCAAAACCCTGCAAACCAGCACCTCTATCTGTTGGTAGAGCCCTTGGATCATCCCTTGGATCAGCAGGTCCACCGAGTCGGACTGACACGAGCGGTGTCCGGTCCAACACCGGGGTCCCTGCCATCAGGAGCTGTCGCCGTGAGCGTCCTGAGGGAGCGAAGAGGACGGACGAGCTGTCACCGTGATCCTCCCATGGCATCTCAAAAGCTGGTCTGGGGAGTGGTGCTGCCATGGAGCGCCATGGAGATGGGGATTTGAGCCCAGAGATGTACAGGTTTTCTTTCACTTCACTCTGTTCACATCCCCTCCCTTGCACGATCTCCAAAGGACTCAAGCTCATTCGAAACTAACACTCAGGTGCAGCGTGGCCGCCGATTTCCCGCTCAGCCCCCGACACTAACGAGTGACTAACTACGTGCAGGTGTTGATTCTGGGCGCCGTTTCGAAGTTCCCAAGTCACTTGATGATTCTTAGCCATTATATAGCTCGAATCCTGCCACGTGCTCCAAAATCCTCAACAACTATCTATTTATGGGTCACCATGGACCTTTCCCTACACTTTTTCAATCTGTTTCATCTTTTTTCCACCTCCCGATACCTCCCAACCTCTCCCACCGAGCCACCGAAGGAGCATCCCCGCGCCACGTCGAGGTGTCGCTGCGTCCACGTTCGCGTGGACATGGACGTGGACGCGCTCTCCACCTGCAACGGTCCCGTTTGAGGACGGTCCAATTCCATTTGATGGAGAACTCATGTGAATCCCATGTCTTCCATTTTTTTGGGGGTGGGAGGGCGGGTATGTGAAGTGAAGTGAATTCTAGTTTTGGACGATCAAGAGCCACTGGTTGTATTTCTATGGCCGTTGAGTCGGTGGGTAGCGTGCACTGTGTGCTGGCACGGCGGTGACCGGTGAGTGCCCTGACGTCTGCGTCGACCGGCTCGGCTCTGTTTGATGACCCACAACGGCCTTTGGAAAGCGAAGGAAAGTCTTCAAAGAGCAACTCCCGCGATGAAGTGACTCTTGCAGGGGGCTATGTTCCAATAATATTCCAAGTGCAGTGGTTTCAGAGAAGATGGGACATTCCCCTACAGTACATGTCTTAGACAAATGGGGGTCCATTTTTACACCACCCAACTGGGGGCCCCTGCCATCTATTCTAATGGCCCACTGTACATGTTTTGTCGAAGAGAAGGTCAACAGCCCCCTCCCTTGAGTCCGACAGACCTTCCCCTGCCGCCGTTTCTGCAGTTTGCCATGGTTTCAAGGCGGCCGAGGCGGTTAAGCCGCCGCCCCCAATTTCACCGAGTACACCAAGCCGCGGTGCTCCAAGGCTTGCAGTGGAGAGAGCCTGGCTTGAAAGCCACCACGTAGACCATGGTATAGGCACCTCAAATGCCAAGCCAAAAAGACCATCACTGATGGCAGTGGCAAGGCTGGTTGACATCATTGATGGGAAAAAAATCAAGCGAAGGTGGAGGTTATCCTTGTGCATACAGGCATGCCTGCCCAAAAACCACACGGCTTGCCACGGTGCGGTTGCCATGGCTCTAACTCAAAGGCTCCATGGTAATGGATGCCTAGAACTAGAACTATGCGTAGACCCTGAAACCAAACCATCATTCCAAGCGCGCGCCGTCAACGGTGCACCGGCCGGAAACGGCACCCGCCGGAGAGCACGTGAGGGCAAGTAAGGGCTTAGCACGCTTCGAATTCCAAGCAGTTGTTCAAAGGAGTCCGGACCAACTCAGCTGAAAAATAATCATGCAAAGATTGGCCCTGTTTTCTATTGACTCACGCGCCCAGGAAAAAAGACGTCTAATCTCGACAAGGTCCAAGAAAGTCCAAGACCGACCATTTAAAGACAACCACGGTTCGTTTTGCACCGCCAAACATGGTATTAAATATAAATCTTGTCGACCACCCTGGCATATACCAAGGAGCTCTTCTTCCCAGCGGTTCGACGAAGCCAGCGGCCCATCCTGTCTGTGACATCTGTGACATCGTCTGTTTATAACTTAACGTCAACAGGAACAATGAATGCAACGCAGGGTTGCAGACTTCGCTCTGCAACTCACACAATGTAGCCAGCTGTTGTCGCAACAGGTGTTGCACACAAAATGCACATTCAAGTCTAAAGTGCGAAAGAAGTGGAATGTTAAGAACCCATGGCCCTTGATGGATGTGGACATCACAGGTATTGCATGGTGTTGCGTTTAACAGATTTTAGGCAAAGGCCTGCGAGGAACACACAAATGATGCGTTTACCTACTATATAATATAAAGCTAAAGCAAATGGCCAGGGGCCCGTTTGCAAATTTACAAAATTGGCTTCCGGCATCTGTCTGATAGGCATTTGCGTGATTATCGCACATCTTTTGCACAAATGCTCAACTTGCTAGGCTAGTTGTTAATATGTTGTGCTAGTTGTTACATATTAATGATAATCAATTGATACTAGTTGTTACATGTTGTTACTATGTTGTGCATTGGTTCACTTCATCTTAGGGACACTTCATGGGGCCTGTCTCATCACTCGCTCCACCTCACCACGCGTGGCGCCCCTTCGGTCTCGCGCTGCCTCCGACCGGTGGCCATGCGAGTGGCTCCGCAGCGGCACCAGTCCACCTGGAAGCTCGGTAGGGCCAAGCAGCCGAAGTGGTGCTTCAACAGCGCGAAGAGCTTCACCTCCCAAGTTTCACCAAGCCGAAAGAGGCATGAAGCAGGACGTGAAGCTCCCGGAAGAAGAATGAAAGACATATTAATATGAAATATGAAGAAAATAAATTGGGACCGGTGGATTCAGTGCAAATTCCACCAATTCTTCCATCATCTTCCAGACCTCTTCGGTCTCTTCCTCCATGTTCCTCCCAACACCAACCCCCGTTCCGTCCGCACCGCGGCCGCCGCCGGGTGCTTCAGCTGCCCCGCCGCAAAGGCCAGCCACAAAGCGTCGGCGCGACGAAGAGCCGCGCCAGCGCCACGCAGCACGTCCTGCGCCGCGGCACGGAGCAAGGAGCGCCGATTTCGTCAATGGGTTACAGGGAACATCTACCGGAAAACCAATTCATTGATTGCTTGTAGAGGAAGTAAAGGTACAAACGATGGAAAGTGCGAAAGACCCAAAGGATGAATGAGCCTTTGATAAACACCAAGGTGGTCTTATGATCCATGTGCTCTATTTCATGCTCTTTCTGTCCTTTCAATGTTGCTTTTTGGGTTAAACATTCGGCAAACAAAATGATTCTTGTATTTCACTAATTGTCCCATGTTACTTCATTACACTCCGACTCAGTATAGTCTTCCAAGGGGCCACTCCCCCTCAATTTTAGTAAGTCAGAGTGTACCTGCCGATACTATCCTATACTTCTATGTTTCGCCGCTTTCAAACGCCTGCCTTCTGTCTTGGACTTCACTCCTACCTGGTTTTTCTTTTCGGCGCCGCACGTCCCTGAAGACGGTCCCGCAAGTCACCGTAGGCGTAGAGCTTGAGGATGGTCGCCTAAAGGGTTCACCGAGTGGAGCGATTGGAACCAACCCGGTTTGAAGCGGAGCGGTGAGCGGAGGAGTTCGGACGGCTTGAAGGGGCCGTTTCGGAGGAGCGGCGGTTTTTGGGGCCAAAGGCATCGGAAAACACCTTCGATGGAGGTTTGCCAAATGTGCAGTGGTATATATACGATTAACAGATTAACAAAGGCTGATGAACTTCTGCAAAGGAAACGGGTAAAGTTCATCACAACGGACCAATAGATCATCGATCATCCTAGATCTAGAGTTGTGCATCCTCTGACTCTCTGCCCTTCATGCTTTGGCGGAGGGGAACGCTGGGAATGGCGGGGCTCGTTCCAGCTCTCACGGAAAAGTTAGGCCTAGGCACGGTCCAAAAATAGTTAATTCTGGAAAACTGGAAAGCCCTCACTCAGGTCAGGACAGCATTTGTGAGAAACTCGCACTCCACTGACTACTCTGAACGTCTCTCATATAGATGGATGTGTTCTTCCTTAACATGTTTCAATAAGTAGAGGGGCAGTTTTCCTTCAGATTTTTCATATATGGATGGATGTCGATGGGAGGATGATGTGGATGGGATGGACCAACTTCACCGAGTTGCCACTTTCTTCACGCGAAGCCGCAACAACTGGGCGACCGTCACCACACGCGCCGTCACGGAGGGGACGGCCGATGAGGGCGATTGCGGAGCTGCCTGGAAGGAGGACAAATCGAAAAACTTGTGTGGGACCTGGTGGAACATCTCTTAAGTTGAAATTCCCACTAAAACAAACCATGTGGGACTTTGGTCGTGGCTCGCTGCCGGTCAAGAAACATGTGGGGAGTCCGCATGTTTAACCCCCTTGAATCACCGGGAGCCTTGACACTCACCGGGGGTTCCATGTGGATCGAGAGGGCAAGAACCAAACATTTCTGTACCTGTGAAGTTCTGGGAGCTACGAAAACATGCGCTAGTCTCCAACTGAATGCCCGGATTTGGGGAGGGGCGTGTCCAAACTAGTCTCCAAAGTAAAATTATTCAAGAGTCTTGAGGGGGCATCATGCGGACGAAAGCCCTCCTACAAGGCGCTTGGGCAAAGGAATCGTGCATAAGCATCATGATGAGAACACATGATGGGAGCTACTGACATCGTGGGTGAATCTCCAAGAATTTGGACCATCAAATACCATATGGGGTCCTGAAGGGGTCCGATACAGAAAGAAACAATGAAGAATTAACTCTGGAGTTGCTTCTTCCAGAAGTAGGGGTGACAAAAAGAATTAACTTGGGAGTTAATTCTATTGAGGCACATGCTGATGCGCACCCAAGGACAAAAGAATTAACACCAGAGTTAAGAAAAAATAACTCTGGTATTCACTCCATTTCATATGCTCTGAACCTCCCCAGGTTGCTGGGAATAAAACTGAATTAATTAAGGACTTGTCCACCTCTTTCTCGTCGAGTGTAGATTGGGCTAGGGTACCAGCTATGCTTAGGCCATCGTAGGGTACCATGGGGAGATCCCAGCCCCAAACCTTCCCAGGTAGCTCCAAGGGGCAGAAGCACTGGCGAAGGGGTTCCCATCAGCGTGGCCCACAAAGTGCAGGCGTCCACGCTCGCCGGAACGCTCACCGGCTAAGGCTTCAATGACCTGGTGCACGGGACTCGGGCGAGACTCGGAGGTGACAAGGATTGAACAAAGATCTGTCCGAGGCCTCCAAGTACCTTCTGAGGTACTTGGAGGTGTAGGGCTGTCACTCCCCTGAATTTAGGCTCAACTCTTGGGGCAATCAATGCAGTAACTTCCAGAGCTTCTCCACCCTCCCATCCCGGGTTGTTTCTTCATCGTTCCCCACCATTCTGAAATTATCAATATCAATCATCCAAAAGGTATCAAACATGATTGTCAACCTTTGGAAGGCGCATTTCCCACATCTTTGTTGCACTCCGAGCAGCCGCCGGAACTAGCCAGTAGCCTAGCTCATCTCCCCGGAAACCTCCCCCAAAAAACAACTACCAAGTGAAAAAAACACACACACAACCAAGAAACAACCATAGAAACACATATCATTATCTATTATCGACATATCACATATAATATATAAAGCCTCAAGAATGTATGATGATGTATGACAATAGAAACAACATCAACACATATCTACACATCATGAACACATACAGTATTTTTTACAGTACTAAGCCTATAAACCATGTATTACATAAATTCAAGTACAAATCACCCTCACTATCACCCTCCTACACATATATAAAATGCAGTATATAAATCACCCTCTGACCTCCTTTTCCACCGGCCTCCCAGCCATTTCCGCCCACCTGGACCTTCTGCTCCCAGCCATTCCGCCGCACCGACCGCCGCAGAGCCGCCGCCACGGGCGGCAGCGGTTCCACAGCCCAAGCGGCACGGAGGCGCCTCGTGAGGCTTCAGGTGTGGCATGGCAGGGTGTTTCTGAAAAAAAATAACGTTTGCAAGCTTTACATGGGAGGTAGGCTCAGGATTTGTTCCGGACCTTCTGGAAGAACAAGGAGTTCTTCAGAATGAGAATGGACCCGGACTAAATGGCTTTTCAGAACATTCCAAGCCCCCCAGACCGCCGGTCTTGCGGTCGTTCGTTCGTTCGTTGGTGTCACACCCTCGCCTCCCCAAATGCGCCGCTGCCCAAAGGCTGCAATCGCCCAGATTCGCACCCACCTCCAAAAGCTGCAAGCTGCTGGAGACCTCTCCGGGCACGCCGGGGCGGCGCGGGGCGCGCTTTCGATCGATCCGGCTGAAGCAACGAAGCATGAGGAATCCCAAAGCATCGGAAGCTGGAAGAGTTGCTATGGATGGATGGGTCATGTTCAGAATGTATGGAACTATTCCAGACATGGATGGTCTAGGATTCCTCATCATCTGTATTCAGGTCCAGATGGTTTTTCGCAGTCTTTAGTGGAAGAAATGGATTCTTTTGGCATTCGTTACACCAAGGTTGGCCAAGCCGAATAAAACCTAACCTAATAAACAATGCAATTCTTCAAGCCTAACAAATTGCATCATCAGCATAATCATAGAGGAAGTGGGTTGTCTGCCCCCAGCAGGTCTGCTCACACCCCAGCAGGTATGCTCATACCCACACATAAACAGCATACAAGACTTACACATGGTCTGAGAGAGAACCACAGCAAAGTCCGCTGCCACCGCTGGGGACCCCAGCAGCTGCAACACGGAGAACCAGCTCCATGAAGCTTAAGTCGCCTGGCTGTGGATGGCTAAAGCATGGTGAGGCCCTTGACAACAACAAACACGTTACGTTATGGAACGCACCCAACCATCCCTATCTCGACATGCTTTGGGCTTCTGTCCCGAATGTGACTCTGCAATGGTGAAAGTGGCTTGTTTACTCAGCTCATATGCTCTCCAGAACGAGATTTTGCTCATTGCCCCATGGCCCACGACCCACGACCAGCTCAATCGCAGGGCCGCCCATGAACCAATGAACCCCGATACGGCCAAGCTTTGGCCAGGGATCAATACGGCAAGCGGCAGGCGCGGACCACATCTGACACCTGGTGCACCATGTCGTGCCGGACGTAGACACAGGGGCTGCTGACTCGGACCCCGAGGTCCCGCCATCGACACATGTGTGTATTTTTGGAGGAATTCTGGCAAGACGCCAAATTGACCAAATACCATTGACATGGAACAAACATGGTGTGTGCGGTTGTGGGTACGTGCAGCTTTTGAATGGGAGAAGCCAAGCTTGATGTTAATGGTGTTTGGATTTGCTTTGGGAATTGTCCAGGCTCGATGGTCATTGTCATGAGTCATAGTATTTTGTGGGGGTGGTCTGGGACATGAGGAGTGAGGGCTTGGGCTTGGGCCAAAGCCCGCTATACATTGCTTGGTCAAACGGACTCCCTCCGCAGCTTGGGATATATCATTCCACCATGATTCTGCAGGATTTCTTCCCCTTCAAGCCTAACAATTGACTGGTCAATTGGGCCAAACATCCTCTCACTTGGAGCACGCAAAGCGTCTTAAGGGGGCTTCTTCGACCGATACCGTGCCCACCTCTCAAATCCTCCCACCTCTCGTGTCCATATCCAAGCGCCTTCTCTGGGATCGGCAGCAGCTCCATCCAAGGTTTGGAACTCCCCTCCGCCTGGCCCGGCAAGCGCCAACGCACCTCAGCCTGCGAGCTGGGGCCGTTTCGGTGGGCGGAGGGGTGAGAGAGGAGCTGCAAGGACAATGGACCCAAATCAATCCATCCGCGAAGCAAAGCTTGAAACTGATCTCAAGTAAAGCTTGAAGTCCTAAGATCAAGTTTCAAGCTTTACACTGGACTTGCACTCCAGAGAAGTTGAATGCGTCTCTGCACACAATGAGTTGGCATTGTTTGGTGGAAGCCTTTTTGTGACATGACATTACATGCATCATTTCTATTTGTTTCCCTGATGTGTTGCTTGGAGTCTCTCCCCTCATGTTGATTCATCTGCAAATTTGCAGACGATTCCGGGCATGATATAGATAAGCCCGAAGACTCATTGGTGGGTCCCAAATGAAGACTCAAGAGTTGCGTGGCTCCTACACATGCAGGTTCATCTAGATTCACACAGCTCAAGATTCTCCCTCAAAGGTGGTTGAGAAACTGAGAAACTTGAGGCCAGGGGGAGAGGTCGAAAGCTAGCCGAATCGCACCGGATGTACTAGTTACATAGTCGGCAAAGCATGTAGGGATGACATGTTTTGGGAGGAAGGTTGCTATGTACATACTTTGCGCTAAAGAATGTAAATGTGACATCGCTGACTGGGAAGGGTACATTGGAACAACCCGGGTGCACTCGTTGGCAGGCACGAAGATGCGTGATCGGCAAATCTGGGGGGTAAATTTACCCTCCGCTTTTGTATGCCTTGAGTCGGAAAGAGGGGTAAGCATTTCTGACATCATACGGACTGTACATACACTAGGGCGTCCGTAGTGTAGGAGAAGCACGGGTAAAAGGTATATGGAATAGAGTGTCTTGAGGAAATAGCCGGTGTATGGTTATTGCAAATCTGGGGGGTAAATTTACCCCCCGCTTATGTATGCCTTGCGCTGGAAAGAGGGATAAGCATTTCTGGCATCACAAGGACTGTGCATACACTAGGGCGTCCGTAGTGTAGGATAAGCACGGGTAAAAGGTAGAAGGAGTAGAGTGTCTTGAGGAAATAGCCGGCTTATGGTTATGGCAAATCTGGGGGGTAAATTTACCCCCCGCTTATGTATGCCTTGAGCCGGAACGAGGGGTAAGCATCACAAGGGCTGTGCATACACTAGGGTCCGTAGTGTAGGATAAGCACTGGTAAAAGGTATCAAGAATAGAGTGTCTTGAGGAAATAGCCGGTGTATGGTTATAGCAAGCCTGGGGGGTAAATTTACCACCCGCTTATGCATGCATTAGGTTAGAAATAGGGGTAAACAACTTGTAACGGTGAAGTACAAGTCCTATGCAGCAAGCAGCCGCCAGCAGCAGCAGCAGCCGCCTGCAGCCAGCAGCCAGCAGCAACCACCAACCAGCAGCCAGCCAGCAGCACCACGCAGCAGCAGCGCAGCATCAAGCCGCAGCAGCAGCAGCACCACCGGCAGCAAGCACCACCGGCAGCAAGCAGCAAGCAGCAGCAGCAAGCAGCAAGCAGCAAGCAGCAAGCAGCAGTAGCAGCGGCGTCGTCAGCAACAGCAGCAGCAGCACCAAGCCGCAACAAGTAGCAAAGCAGCAGCTACAAAAGCGGCAACCAGCGGCAGCAGCAAACAGCAGCAGCAAGCAGCAGAGCGGCAGCAGCAGCAGCAGCAGCACCCTTTACACCAAGCCACCGTTACACCCAACCAACCACGTTCACACGTTCAACCAACCCCCTACACGGCGCAGCTGGGAGTTGAACCGCGGGGGGGGGGGGTTAGCTTGATATATCAATCTTTAAGGCACGCAGCCCCTCCCACCACAACATTGCTAAAGCAAAGAAGAACTCAGCTAGCATGCTAGCTTTCGTGACAAAGAGAGGGGACATGTCACACAGACTTTGTCACCAAATAGGGGTCGAGGATCCAACTGAGTCGCTGTCCGAGTGGACCGCAGAAATCAAACTTCTGTAGAATCGAAGCTGATTCACCCAGGGGTCACAAAGGGGGTCGTGTTTATAGTCCCTAATTGAGTGAGCAATTCTGCGCATGTTCTATACACACCCCCAACTTCCATGGATAGCACCCCGACATGTGACTGCAGCTATTGCAGCGATTGAAGCAAACCACCCCCCATTGGACCCTGAAGGATCAGAAAAGGATCGGCGGTTTCGCCCGAAGCCCTGAAACAGGATCGGTCTCCGCCCATCAGAGACTATATTGACTACATCATATTACAGTCTGGGCATGTCCGGGCAAATTATAATTCTCACCCCGTGAATTTCTAAGTCCACCCACCCCGGCTGGTTAAAGTTTGCACAGAAATTACAGTGGTTTCAGAAACCAAAAAATACGGTGGCACAGCTGGGCACAGAAACCCGGTAATCCAGTGGGTTTCGATGGCGCAGTACCCCCCCAAGTTCGGTGCTTGACGTGGAACCCCTGTCGACAGGACCTATTGGGGTTTGTGCCGCCATCTGCTCTGAAACCACTGCAACCAAGTTGGCTTCTGTAAAGGATGGCATGGAAAAAACCGGTGGCTTGGCCGGGTTGGCGTCCCTTCGGTCTGCCTGGCACGCCAGCCGATCAGCCAATTGGAAGATGGGCCATCTCGCCGAAAGCGCCACGAAGGGCGGATAGGTGGCACTGAGGAAGTGCTCCTGGGCCGTGCGGCAAGGGACCTCTCTGGCTGGGGTGCTCCAAGAGGTTGAAGCTGAAAGTGGAAGACCAGCTGGAACCTACAAAAGGGTCTCTGCTCAGCTTCCATGATTGCCTAATAAGGAGGGTGTATCTATAATATGATATAGATATGATTGCCATTTGCCGAAGCACAAGTCGAGTCGTTTGTTGTCAAGGACACACATTTATCATTTCTGACAATGCTGGTTGGCTGCTGTGCATAGTCACCACTAAGATCACTAAGTCGGGAAGTGTTGTCATTGCAAACGGCATAAACACAAAATGCCTCGTGTGCAATCCATGAAGTAAAAGCAACAGTTCGTGGCCAAGCAAAAAGGCTTAGGACTGCAGTTGGTTGATTTGATAGATTCTTCCACTTGGTCATCCACGCATCCCAAAAAGGCTCTTCTTTTCATCCACCTTCGCCATGATGTTCTCCTGGTGCCTGGCCACCCACCCATCTCCACGCGCCGATCTCCCGGCGATGCTCTTGGTCCAGGCGGCGCTCAAGAGGTACACCGCACGCCGCACGAGGCGATTCTGGCGTCGACCCGGACGGACGGCGGGGGACCCGTCCGGTGGATAGAGGCGGCGTCGCAGCCGTGAAGGGCGTGGGTCTGATTCAACAAGCAAAAGAAGGACACCCTGCCAGAAGCTCGTTCATTGATTCGTTTCTGATACCTTGACTGAAAGCCTCAAGGAGTGAATAAAGGCCGGCCAGTCAATCAGACCTCAGATCTCGGGACTTCCACACAGGGATTTTTAGACTTGCTGTGTTCCCTCAAGAGGGGCCACAAGATTTTGGGCAAAACACCGTCCATCACAATGACCTGTCACAAAAAGAGGTGAAATTGGAGGGCCCCTCTTTCTTTCTTTTGCACCACTTTCACCCGAGCCTCGCAGTTGCTAAGACCTTCTTCTTCACAACATTCCAGCACCCCACCGCCCCCCTAGGCCAAGTTCCCAAGAACTTCCCAACTCTTCCCAAGACATTTCTTGGGGCAAATGCTTATAAGCTTAAGCAGCTGAAGCTCCCTCAATGCTCCTTCGACCCTTCCGCCGAGCTGCGGACTCCCCCAGCTCCTCCGGCGTCAAGCGCTGCGGCGCGCGGAGCACATCCGCGAGGGCGAGCAAGGCCAGGGCACGTGCCAAGGGCGAGTAATAGTCCGTGTAGGACAGGACCAAGCTACTGGCCTCAAGCAAGTTGAAGGGACACCTTTTTTTGGAGGTTTAAGGGAACCTTACAGTGGCTGGGAAGTGAACCTGCAACGGGTTTCTGGCTGGTTTCTGGGAGATGTGATTCTGGGCACGGTATGGACGTGCTGCGGTGGTTGCTTTGGAAGGACGTGCTGGTTGCCCTTTTTGAACCTCCATTGCCAAGGAAGCTCCCCTCCCAGAAACCAGCAGCTTGGAGAAACATGCAACACATGCTGGCATATGCTGGCCCTGGCTGTTCACAGCCATATTGGCCAGGCCATGGTGTTTCATCAGCTTAAATTGCCTTCAAGCCTTCAAGCGGCCAGCTCTGAGGTTGAAGCAATGCGGAGATCAATCAACATCTGCACTTACCTTCTACTACAATGAGCTGCATGGATAAAGTTGTTCTATGATTCTACTGATGTTCACTGCAATCTAATGATGCAAATTGGAACCACCACTTGGGTGTGGTTCTCCTCAAACGCTTCAGTTGGTCCGAGGTGCTGCCGCCGGCACGGGCGTGCCGCGCAGCAGGTGGTGCTCGACGGTTTCGAGGAAGGGGATTTCCTGCAGCTGATCGGGGCATGGGCAAAAGAGGCGCTCTGCCTATCAACAAAGGGTCTGCTCCACAGGTTTCAGGTAGAACCAAACTATCAACACCATGGACTTACATCTTCCTAAACTCTTGCTTTTGATACATGAACATCCATCAACCTCACGGATTTGCAGGGGCCTTGGGCCATGGGCCGACTTTGTGAGGGGCATTGGGAGGAGGCGCTCCGTGTTTGTTTTAGTTCCTTCTGAGCCAAAGAAGCAGCAAGGGATGGGGGAGTTGACCTTACCAAAGCCTTCCAAAAAATGACATCTTGAATAAAGATGACAAATTCCACCACCGAAATTGCAACCCCCCAAACTAATTTATTCCCCAGAACTGGAGGGGTTCAATGCAAAACATGTGAAACAAAGGGACTGTTTACTCGGGGAACCCTCTCTGAGATAAGCTGGCCAAGCGGCATAGGCCCAAGTTGAAAGAAGCTGATCATTCAAGGGGTTGGCGCTTCCCATTTCCAGGTGTGCAAAGTACCTTGGAGACACAACATACCTTCGACCGCGACCTGTTTCGATTCTTCATCGCGTTGGCACATGTGTGCGATTTGACCCGTTTGTCCACCCTCAAGCGGTGCTTGAAGTCATTTGATCAACGGAATTTGAGAGGAAGAACACCACATAGAAGCCTTTGTGGCATCATCCTGGAACCATCCTGGACAATAAATATGTAACTGCATGGTTGGTGGTTTCAACTCACTTGAGAAATGTTTGTCAGCGGGTTCATCATCCCCAAGTAAAGGTTGAACGGCCCCTATACCAAATAGATTTGGCAAATCACTGAAAACTGTGTGGAACCGGCCGGCCATTCAGCTCCCAGCCGAGGCTTCTACTCACTGTCTTGGTCTCTTTGATGTTCCCCAACTCCCATACTGATCATTCTGTGTCCAACAGCGCCGAAAACCGCACCAAGCGGGTAGAAGGGTTGACCACGTATGTCAGAAGCTCCCGCACCGACCATCCTCCAGCCTGCCTGCCAAAACAATCCAAGCCATGCTTGCGCGGACAACATCCAACCATTCTTAGAATCACCGCCGTCGACCCATTGGTGAAGCCTTGGACGTCTCATTAAAAAAACACCTCTTAGAGTATGGAGGAGTTGTCATCTTAAGAGTCTACTCTCCCTGGAACTAACATGGAAGTGGAAAATGGTCCCTTGGAAAACAAGTTTTCCTCTACAAACAGGGGGGGTTCCACTTCCATGACATCACGTAACGACCAGAAGACATCAGAAGACCAGGTCTTCCGCCCTGGTTGGCAGTTCCTGACTGGCGAGGCCGAGCCACTCCAGGCGAGCCAGCAACCGGAAGAGCGGCCAGCCGGAAGCCGCCAAGAGCTGCCAATCCAACCTCGACTCCCGAGCCCCCCGGAAAGGTCGAGCGAAGAGGTCGATTCACCGAAACCCATTCTGTTCGGTTTTACCAGTCGATGGAGTTGTGTGGAGGACTCACAGCATCGTTGACACTCCGGTCGGTTCGCGACGCGAATGACACAGGTCGTTTCAAGGGAGGAAAACCAATCCACCGCAACAAGGTGAACGATTCTCCACTGAGAGTAGGTCCATGGTGAGAGTAGGCGGTTTGGGCGGGGGGGGGTGTTCGTCTGCGGAGTCTTTGTCTGGGACCATTTCGGGAGAGAATCATTATGGGGGGACACATATCAGAATGTTCACTAAGTTGCATGGGTCACGAAGACTCCTGCACTCAACAAGAAACATGAAAAACACACGAAAAAAGCACGCCGTCCACCACCTCAAAGCTGGATTTGGTTCCGAAGTCCTGCTGGGAGCCTGGATCCCTCCGCCTTCAGAGTCATTCATCTGAACGAAGTGGTGGCTCTGGGAGAAGGCAACACATATGGCTTTGATGTTCCTTCATAGGAAGGCAACAAATATGGCTTGGAGATAATAGGCAACACGTCTGAAAGGCAACACATATGCCTTTGAGACAAAACACACCTCAACTCATCTGAAAACATGCACAACAACTTTGAACGTGTAAACAACTACTTGACGCCTTGCACGGTATAGACTCTAGAAACACTTCCGTCCATTTCAATGCTGCCGACTTTGCCCTTCCGCTCCTCCTCCCGCCATCCGGTTCCAGGTCACGTAGAGGACAGAAGCCGAAAGACCTCGTGGATCATCACCCCTGCCGTCGCGGGCGCGACCGAGACTCGCGCGTGCGACCATCTTCGGCGGAGGGGCGAAAGACCAAGCAGGGAGCTGAAAGACGTTTTGGAGGCTCAGTGGACAACAACGGCATCTACTGAAGACAACGGCAAAATGAGGATTGTGCTCGTAAATGCAGCTGGTTGAAGCACATGTAATATGTCTTGCAAGCAGTCCATTTGGGGGACCGCACATCCATGACCAAACATATCAAAACCTCTCATTGAATTTAAGGAGCCTTCAGACTTCAGCAACTCATCCAGCAAAGACGCGGCCTCAAATGGAACGCATCTGCGTTCCAAATGCGGCCTCCGTGAGGAACATGAACAAACATCAATACCGTGGGGATGGTTTTGCAGTGTGTCTGGGTGTTTCTAGTGTTGCAAACGTAAGGAATCTAAGATCCGAGTTGGCGAAATGGAGAGCATGGTCCAACGGTGGGTGCACAGGGCATCTGGACGACAACATCTTCTGTTCCTCATCCAAGCTGAACTCTAAGTGTAGAGGTGCAAACTGACCTAGTGCAAGTGGCCTGAAGGTACGTGAGAGAAGCAATTACAATCTCTCTCTTTACATATATATATACACATGTGGCAAAGCAGGACACGCGCAAACACCAAATATGCGTTTACTTCAATAATGGCAAAACATTGCAACACCAAGCACGAAGGTATATACATACTTCCCTGGTAAGAAGTGCTTTGGGCACTCTCTCTCTCTCTCTCCAGCTAAGTCCAGCCGAACTCCCAACCCTTGGCCAAGGCTCCTTGAGAGACATAAAGCCGATGAGCTTCCTCAACGGTGTTCGCTGCTTGCGATCCCAAATGGCACCCCTCTTGGGTTCTTATTGGTGGCCCCTGGTCTCCTTCGGACGGCTTGGGTGGGTGGGTGGGTGGCTTGGGTGGGCAGGAGTCCTTGATGAAACTCCTAAAAACCAGTCACCCCCCAACTTAACTTGCAAACCAAACGCAGCTCACTGATGCTGCAGGGGAGCCCTGCATGTCGGATGAGTAAATTCTGATCAATCTAGACGTGGTATGACGTTGTTGAACATGGTTGAAATATGATGAAACATCATGAAGCCCGGGGCTGCAGGCCAGCTACGGGTGATCGACAAGCTCCTTCACCAAATGCAGCCTTGACTCAAGCTCACATATCCAACAGCACATTCCTGCCTCAGCGAGGATGTCCATCCAGGTTTAAAAACTGAGCCGCAAAGTGAATGAATCAAACTCAAGATCAACCCAGCAAAGATTTGCATCAACACAAAAACATAGGAAAAGTAGATCCCCACTAAACATGTATTGGAAACCGTTTCTTGGGGACCACTATACACAGTGAACAAATATGTCTTACATTGTCCCCCCATGGCCACCCAGGAAAAAAAGGTTACATGTTTTGTCGATCAAGGGACATGTCATCACAACATATGTCATCTAAAAAGCTGGGACATCGGGTTCTGGACTTCTCCTCCTGCTTGCACTTCCCTTTCTGGCCATACGACTTCATCTCAGGGATTCGACTTCTTCAGCCTCCTCAGAAGAAAGCTCTAACTACAAGTTCCCAACAATGCAAGACCTTCCTGGGGACCTTCAATATGTGCTCACCGAGCACTTCAACCTCCAAAAGCCATCCTTAATCCTTAGCATATAGGAGGTATATATCTGGAAGTTGCCTCTGGGGAACATGTGAGCAACTAACCCCTCTGCCTGATGGATATGGGCTTTGTACAACTCTAACTCTTCAGCCACGAAATCCGACTTGAGAGTTGTAAGAACTCGCATCCCTTCCGCATTCTACGCTGACTCATCCTTTTTGAGACCCAAACCCTCAGTGCACATGTTGGGTGCACGAGCTAGAGTGCCATACCAGAAAAACATGATAACTCATCATGAGGATGAATGAGTGGGGCAACATCTGAGAATTTTGATAGAACCTGCTTCTAGCCCTGTCAGCTTACCACTGCACTAGAGTCACTAAAACCCTCCCACCCCGCATCACCCAGCCACCCTGTCTTGCGCAAACATGTTCATGCCCCAGCGACGAAGCACGCAATGAGAGCGTGGCATTGGTGTCGATCCGCCTGGATGAGCGCGTGGGTGTGAACAAAGACTGAACATCACAGACGGACTGAACTGACCATGGACTGTGCAGCTCACATGGATCCCGACCGGAGGACAAACGAGTTTCAAAGTCCGTCTGACCTCCCTCCATGGAGGCCTTTAGCGGCTTGGACGCGACCGTGTCCAGATGGCTACAGATCCTCCAGGACCAGGTCCAGATGGCTCCTGTGCCGATCCTCGGGCCGTACTTTCCCTCCATGCAACCATGGAAACGGCTCCTCCCTGGATGGCAGGAGAAGGGTCTTCCTGTGATGATGAGGATGGGGAATGTAGCCTCTTGATTTCTCAAACAAATACATGGCCCCATATGACGAGGTTCTACAATCCACCATGGGGGAGGGTGTTATTCATCAAGAGTCTACATGAATCATCAACTAATTTCATTAATCTACATCTACATGAAGAGGTTGGACTCCTAGAGCTGGGAACTTCTTCACTCTTAGAGCTTGGAACGGACACACAAACTCTGGGGGGGATTGACTCTGCGAGGCCATTGTGCCTTTAGAATCAGAAAAGGTGTGCACAATGATCAAGCCCTAGGGCTACTGGCCATCTCCTCAGGTTCGGTGGTACTCGACCCTCCTGGCACCCACCCCTGGCCCATCGAACCGAAACGGAGGTGGGCCAGGGGCCCTAGGGAAGATTCACCCACCGCTCGTGAGTCTCACCCCACCGATCCACCAAGCACACCTTCCTCAATGGACAGGCGCCTCCACAAGTCCCTCATCTGCCAATAGACAGGCGACTGTGCGTCCAGGGTGATCTCTCCTGAGCCCGAGGTATCAGCAGGGATCGACCGTGCGTCCAGGGTGAAGTCAGGACCCTTGACATAATCCAAGTGATCATCGATCTTAGTGTAACACCCCTGGACAAAGCCACCGGGTTGGACTGCTCCAGTTCTATGTTTTTACTTTGTTTGCGAAGTAGTGACTTCGAACTAGTGGGTGCTTACGTAGGTTCACCTCAATTACCCAAGGTTCGGCCAGCCATGGTTCTTCCTAGGCAAACCACTAGAACCTGCAAATGGTCAATAGAGTGAAAACTTTGCTGTTTAATGTTAAACCATCACCAAGCCTAAGCCTTAGGTTGATGGTGCAGGGTTAGCTTCAACAACAGCAACAGCAGCAGTACCACCCCCAGCACCAGCAACAGCGACAGCAGCGACAACGACAACAACAACAACAACGACGACAACTACCACTACTACTGCTACTACTAGTGCTACTATATAGCACTACTCACTCTCCAACATTGAAACGTCCAACATCTGGACTCTGCCTCTCTCTTTATCAATCTGTCCGTTTTGGGTCTTTCGTCCCAGGAGCGAGACGCCAAGTTCATGGCCGCATAGAAGGACCTTTTCTCGGAACGTTGGAGTGAACGTGGTGGGGACGTAGGGAGGATGGATTGGCCTGGAGTGGGTTTTATATGCTATAGAGAGAGAGAGAGAGGGAGAAAGACCTGGCAATATAAATCCATCAACCACCTCTTGGATAGCAGAAGTGCTGTCCACTCCAAAAGGATACACCAATCTCGATCGGAACTCTTTTGACTCCGCTCGGACCTATATAGTTTCAACAGCGACATGCACATACATGCACCACTTCGCTTTGCTCTGAAAAAAGCGCTCATCATCCTGGCGGTACCTCTTCACCTCTTCTCCGAAGTGGAAAAACATGACGCGCTCAGCGCTGTCTTCCGGTGCTCAGCTGCACGCTGCACGGCCACTGGGCTTCCCCGACAGATTGCCGCGCACCTCTTCCCAGTAAGGCCCCTCCGGCGCCACCGGTCCACGGCAGCGGAGGCTCACAGGGGAGACGAGCGCCGCACAGGGTGAGACGGGTGCAGCCAGCAGCCAAAGCCATGTGTACATACCGCCATTGGGGCGCCCAAGGCCAGGTGCTCTTTAAGGGCTCGAATCCCAGGTCATCTGGTGCGGCAAGTGTGTTTTTCATGGTTTTGGAGCAGGTCCAAGCCCAGTGTAGTAACTCATGTGGTATAGGGGGGCAAAGGTTAAGGTCTCCGGACACCGGCCTAGTGGAACCTCCAGGTGTGCCCATTTAACCCACATCTTCGACCGCCCGACCGTCTTCGCTCGGTGATGCGCGGACTGAGGTGACCGTGACCTTTGCTCCGTTCGTGGCGAACATTGCTCCTAGTAAGGCCAGGAGCCCCGTTCGTAGCGTCCGAACGCTCCTAGTAGCGATGCCCGAAATGCTCCTAGCAGCCTTCTTGCTCCTATAGCAAATCTGTCTCATCTGTAGTGATCCTCCAGATTTGTGAGATGCCATTGAAGATCTGCATCCATGATTCAATCCCCCTAGGGCTCCAGTCGTAGCTTCTGGGAAGGTGGGACTGGGATGGGTGCTAGGGTCTAGATGGTCTAGTCATACCGAACCTGAGGTACGACTGGAGCCTCTTTGGTAAGCATCTTGGATCCCCGGAGGCAGGAGACGCATCTGTATTCGCATGGCCATTTCTGTTGGGCACATCAGCCGCTGATGTGCTGCAGTGCGCGATGGTTGAACTGAGAACCACGGCAAGTCTAAGTGGTATATATAGCTCCAAAGCATCGACTTAGTCACAGCAACCATAGATCGTCAATTTGAGATATTCCTGAAACATTCCTGAAACCATAAAACAAACTAGCCATTCTCTCAACGTGCGCATGAACCAAATCACCAAATCCCATGATTGCAAGAAGTTCAAGCCGACCCAAGGTCCCAAGCAACTCCGTATGCTTCTCCTGCAGCGAAACGCTGGTTCAGGGCGTTGGATGGGACCGTTGAGAGGTTTTACAATTCAATACATTCCAATGACATGTGTTCTTCAATACATACAATTCAATTGATGTTTTGTTCATTCTGAATGAATTATTTGTTGAGAGGTTCTACAACTAATAATCAAGATTCTACACTGGGTCAATCTTGTCTCTCCATAACAAGGGAAGGGTTTGTCGTCTTATAATCACCCCACCAATTACTACGCAATGCACTAGTCCGCAGTCCGAAAAGCCTGCATTCTGCGTCTCAAGTCAACCCAGCAGGAAACCTGCTGCAAGTGCAACCATGCAACTCTTGAGTCAACCAGGACATTTGGTCAAAACAGTCTCGACTTAACTATCTGACAAAACCGAGGCTATGTGTGAAACTGAGAGTCCGGATGTGCCCAGCGCAAAAAAATGCGTCTTACAGTGTCTTCAAGAATAGATGGCACACACCCGAAAATGTCCTGAACTGATGCGGGTCCATATAAACCACCCAACTTGGGTGCCATCTACTCTGAAGGACACACTTATTACATACTCCTGGGGTCACAAGACGGGGTGGGTTTTTAGTCCCATCCAGTGAGTGGATAATGGGCATCCCTAGCCTTCATTAAGCACCCCTTTGTGACTGCTGGCTTATACTCTTTTCGTGTCCCATTCTGCCCCTTTTCCGCACGTCGCCACCTCCAGGAAGACTCGTACCTTCTCAAGGCCCCGCCTAGCTCGGTCTGAGGGAAGCCGGGCTCGGTCCGAGCATTTCCCCAACAAAGGATACAAAGGAAGAGCTGCCCATCCCAAGACATCAGGAACTTCGAGAATCAGCTGCTAACTATTCCACTCTCCTCTCCTTCTTTGTCCTTCCAAGGTCATCTTCAGATCCTCTGCAGATCCACTGGGTTCTGGATGATTCACCTACGGGATGGTCCCTGAGGTGATCAAGAATCCTGTTCAATTGGTTGACCAGTTCGCCCCGAAATCCAGTTCCTTCCAAACCACACGAGAGCGGGCAGCTACATCTATAGATTCTCTCAGGTTTTGAATTCTAGGAATCAAAGAGCAACAATTTGACAATGAGCAACATCTTCAAGGGGGGCCACTGTTCCACTTCCATGTTTGTGGGTATTGCTCCACGCTCCTCAGCTCCGCTTTTTTCCCCTCTTTGTGCAGCAGGGGTGTCGGCAGCTCGGGCGATGTCAAAGCAATGTCCCCAATGCCAGGAGACATCCGGGACTTGGACAGTTGCATCACTCTGTTAACTGTTAAAAAGATAGGGCCGAACTTCAAATTGAACGGCATACAGCATGCTGGAAAACAACTGGAACACAACTATCCAATCCAGTGGTCTGAGAAAAGTGCCAACTTCAGATTTAAGATTGCTCTGACATGCGAAAAACCCATGGCGGTTGTTTACTAATGATCAAAATAAAGTGGAAGCAAGTGGACGCACCCCTCTCTCGTCCACGTGTGCTGTGCCTCTTCTGCGTTCGTTTAAACGAGTCCTGCCCCGTCCAGCCCGGGTAGAGGAAGCAGCAGGGTTCGGCCTTGAGCTGACCCCGCGACATCTGTATTCCTAGGTCGATCCTAGATGGTCCAAATCTTGAGTTCCTCATGTGGTTCATGAGCTGTCACGTGTTCAAGAACTATCAAAGACTCTAGGATGATATAGGATGACTCCCTCTCTCTCTCTATATATATATAGAGGTACTTGTTGGGTTTCATGTTTGGTCTTCAACCCGCAAACATGCCACACATCACAAACTTCTGGCCATTGAGATGGCCATCACCCCAACCCCTTCAAAAGTCAAAACGTCATGTACATGTTTGCTTCCTCCGAAGTCGACATCGAACCTCTATATACTGGTAGCTTCTTCATGCTTCTTCCAGGGAGCCTTTCGCTTAGACTTTCTCAAATCCTTCTTTGAGACCATCGAGGAGCCACTGGCAAATCCCTTATACGGCCGTCCTGGACATCCAACCCTGGGACAAACGAGCCCAGGCAGAAAAGAGGGATTTGGACAACTGCCAACACCTGCCAAATCTCACGGCAGTTCTCACGGCTTACGGAGTAGCATGGAGTAGCACTCCAAGATCCTACAATACACAAGGGTTTGCAGAACACACGCACAAAATATAAAGTTACCACAGGCAACGAAGGAAGACTTGTCAGCATCTGCCATATATACAATAGTGACCTTCTTGATTTCTACTATCTCCATTTACAGTACGCAGCCCAATTCCATCTGCCAAGGATCCATTTTGACACCCCTCCCTCCAAACATGCTGACGAACCCTTGAGAAACACAAGTTGAAACACTCTACCTAGAGGTGTTTGCAAATTATCTCTTGGACGGTTGAAGGCGTGCGTGGCAATGCATATTTAGATTGACCCCCATCAAATGCTAAAGTAAGTTACAGTAGTATTCCAGTGCGCTGTTGGGTGTAGAATTCCTACAAGGGAAGGCAGCTGGGTCATGCTTGAATGCCCTCCGTCAGATCTGTCTTCTCTTGATGTCCAGTATATACTTGACGACCTCCAGGACTTGTTTCTTCACGTCCCTTTTGCAGGTTAGCTGGGACGCATGGCTTTTTTTATCATCAACTGAGTCCTTTTGGTTGACAGTGGCACGCGACTTTGCCATCATTTCCGCTGTCTTGTTTGTGCTCATCTTCGATGTGTCCTGAACCCCCAACAGCGTCTTAGCTGATGCATGCACGGCCTGTTGCTTCTGCTGTTCATGCAATTTCTTACACAGGAACGACCTAGCTATGACCTACCATGATTTGTGACTCCGAAAAGGACTGCAGCTTTCCACATGTGTAAGGCTCTTTTAGCCTGGTCGAATTTACTCACGAAGCTTCTCCAACAAAGGTCCATCCATCTTCAAATCCTCCTCGTCGATCTCGATGTCCAAGTCACCATCATATTGCACCATCACATTGATGACATCATAGACCACCTTCACCTGGTCAATCCCGGTAGCTGCTTTGGGCAAGCATGATCATCAAACAAACTATTATATACAGTACTTGAGAGACGTTGAGAGTAGATGGCACAATCCCGAATCCCCAAGTTTCGCAAGTTTGGTAGTGCAAGTATAGTATAGCCCCCGTATTATTTTTTTTTAAAAAAAAAACCTTGCAACTTGTGCCATGACTCTGAAAACCTCTGTATATCAGGACCACTTCGCACTGTCTGGTTCTACAATGTTCTACATTTGGATGAACGATGTCGTTCCGTCAAAGCGGTGCTTCAAACAAATCTGTTGTTTGACTGCTCTAGGTTTGACAGTTGGTGTCCGGATGTTGTATGGACACCAGCTGAGCAGTCCTGTTGAATTACGAAGACATTTACCTCTTGCTCCGCAAAACGCCAGGACCCTGACAAACATTACAAACAAACACATTTTTTGTAAAAAAACAACGTGCTTAGATGTGCTCAGCATATCTCAGCACTTGATAGGGGGCACCAAGTCAAATAAATGATGATCAATGACTCCATGGGACTGCCATATATGCCGATCAGTTGGGGTGGTTGTGGGGGTCCATGGGGCGGCAGCCAGTGTCTGGCTATATAGACCTTTCTGCCATAGACATGGATACTTGGGGGCGGGTTCTCCGCCAGGCAGTCAGGCGTTGTCCAACCCCAAACACCTGGCCCTTTCCCAGTCCCATGGAGTATATGGGGATGATGACATCTGTGCTGTTTTCCATCTGCCCCAGTCTAGTGTAACTCCAGGACCACCTCTTCGGGCTAATGACATCCCAGATCCGAAAGTGGTTGGACCCCCAGCCCCAACCATCCCCTCAGGTCGTTGAAGCCTCAAAATGACCTTTGTCTTTTCCTGTTGAATTCATGGCAAGACATCCCACCAAATGCACCGAGCCATGGCGCCATTGAAGGAAAAGCCACCTCCAACCAACCCCCGGCACGTGCTCGCAAAGCGGCTGGACCATCCCATCCGATCCCCGTCCGTCCCCAGAAAGCGGAATCCGAAGACTCCCCGTCCGTCCTGGGCGACCAACTCATCAATTTCTGGATCATCCTAGGTCTTGCGGATCGCAGCCGGGCACGGGCACCGGGCACATCGGAGGCGGAAAACAAGAACCGATCTGAGCACGCAACACATGTTGGATTCAAAGGTCAATGGACCTCTCATGAACTTTCTGAAAGGGTGCCCCTTGCAATCTGGTGAGCATTTCTAGAAAGTACATTATAACATTTTTAACCACTGCCTGAGAATACCAATGATCCCTCTGTGTACTACCAGCACCAGCAGCCCCACGACCAAAAACAATAGCTTTGAGGCTTGGCCTTCTGAACGTCCTATGATAGTTGTAATATGTTGTAATCTCCCCAGCACCCTCTATGCTTTCCCAATGACTGCCTACGAATGGCCATCCACCTTCAATTAGCTGGTTGACCCGACCATCTCTGTCAACAAGTATACGCACCTGCTGGAGCACCGGCAACCACCCACCGCCTCGCCCAAAACGGCCCCAACCACCGGCGCCGTGGCGACCGAGGGGCGAAGAGCTTCAACGTCTTGGTGCGACACTTCCTGGGTGCGAAGGACCGGAAGTGGCGACCGAGCGAGCGAAGATCGACTAGCTGGAAGGTCGACTAGGACCGACGAGTCGGTTTGGTCTTGGATGGTCTTGGGATGTGGTGACTAAGGGCGGAAGCCAAAACCCATCTCCGTTCTACAGGACTGAAGGTGGGCCGGATCCTAAGGCTCGAATCATTGAGAACGACCTTCATTCGACGAACAAGCGGCCACTTTTGTTCGTTGCTGGACCCTGGGTCTAGACGGGTTGACCCAGTGACCGAAGGCAAGTTAAGCGTTTCGAAGTATGACCTTGTGAAAATGGTTTGGTCGTTCTTTAAAAATGGACTCCAGGTGAGTTCGAACACCGAACACTGTAGACCGCACCTTCGGCCCTCCGTGAATCCTGTAGATGAAGCCCTAAACCCTTAAACCTTGCAGTTCTTCGTCTGACTGGGCTGACTGGACTGCAGTCGTTGCTGTCGTGGCCGAACCCACCGCAGTCGGCCGAGTCGCTTTTGTGGTGTCGGTCGTTGCAAGACCACGCGGCGAACCGCGTCGCGCTCGAAGACGCTGTCCCCCACGCTGATGACGTTCTTCCAGCTTTGATGCTGGTAGCCTGAGCATGGTGGGTCAATTGCTTTTACCCCTTGGGTGCAGGACAAAACGGATACATCATGAGCCACCTGTACTCAACATGGCTGGAAGTATGTCATTCTAGGTCAAACCATGTCAACCCGAAGACCCCAGCCAGCCTCAAAAGGATCGCTTGACATCTCAACAGGCCGCTTGGCTGCCGTGTTTGGGGTCTGCGAACCAGGTTCCCAGAGTCTTCTTTATTGCTCACGGCCAAACGCGGCTCCGTGTTCACAAAGAATGCACCTTCTCTTTCGATCTGTTGAGTCTTCCATCTGTGCAACACATTTTCAGAAGACTTGCGTTCGGGATGTTAAGGATTCCGAGGCCCCAAGCTTAGAATCCGGGTGTTTTCACAAAGGTCAGCCTTGTGGGGTCAGTGGGGGAGATTCACTTAGACCCTTCCGACTTAAGCTGAACGAAGTTCAAGAAATCATCACCACGTTCCCGGATTCCGGATTGGGGCGTTCAGCGAAGTCTCTTCGAAGGCTGGAGGATTCTTCTTCTTTGAACAAGTCACATTTTTCACAGTGTATGCTAGTACTAGGTCAGTCTATTGAGTCAGCCGACAACCAACAAAAAAGAGATGCAAAATTGCTTGATGCAAGCGGAAGTGACGGGAGTAGAAGTCTTTAATCTCTTGTGCAAAGGCAACCTGGCATCAAGGCGAGGTCCCAGTCCAAGGGGAAGTCGGCACACGGTTCCGCACGCAGGAGACCGCAGGAGACCACTGAAGAGCCCAATGAGATCTGGGTCTGGGTGCTCCCAAGGAGCACCTTACACTCCCTCAGATCATCATGGATGGCACCCCATTTTGGAGCCTTTGCCGAATGAACAGGGGATGCCATCCACTTACACGTTAGCGACTCGGAGTGTGACCGAGCGACGGCGACTGATGGCGACTGTGTCCAATCCTGCTCCTTCTTCAAACTCGGCTACAACTTTTTCACCCTGAACCAACCCCTGGAATGAGGACAAGGCGTTTGAAAGCAACCTAGGTAGATGATGACTGGGACGTATTCGGTTTGAATGACAGTTAGACAGAACCAATGAAGCTACGAAGAAGCAAATAATGGTTGATGAATAGGGCTTGGAATACATGCACCACACACGCCATCAAACTGAAAGCATATTATCAATTCAACAAGCTAACAAGCACAACCACTGCATGAACAGTGGTTGGGATAACGCACGGATGGCTCGCTCAACTAAACCCGAATTCACAACTTCAATATGGCGACCAACCTTCTAAGTGACACAAACCCCACAAGCTGCCTGGCCTCCTTCCACTTCCTGAGTGGCCCGTGCGTGAAGCTAATCCCGAAATTACAGCAACAAAGTTCACGAACATGCTCATGGTGCGTCTCCCAGTTGATACACCTTTCAAAATCAATGAGTTTGGACTCCAACCATCACAACTCGATACGATCACGCGCCAGTCGGCAGTAGTGGCATTGTGCAAACAGCCCGGTGGACCCGGGATAAGAGACCCAGCGTGCCCCGTGCGGCTCCAATCATCACTTGTCTGGATGTGTTGGACACTACGGTGGACTACATACTTTGGACCCCCCAAACTGGCAGCTGAGGAAGATCCTGGTAGAGTCTCTTGCATAGGTCCCGGAGTCTATCGACACTTCAGGCTCTGTTGATCAGTTCCTCTGCACCACCGAGTTCACATCCATATCTGGGGCATGGTGATCCGCGAGGAGAACTCTCAAGTGCTAACCCAGGAGAACTCCTTCATAGTAACAACAAGTCGGGACATGCTGAATGTTCGTTGACCGTTCTGCCCCAAATTAAGACTCCAAACAATCCCAGGAAAACAAAACACACACACACAAGAAACACGACTCTAACCCCGCCCCACCCATGTTTTCCGCGGGTCAGGGTTGCAACCCCTCTACCCCCCGGCCGCACCCGAAACCTCCCTTATTGCCGCACCAAGCCTAGAAATGCCTCGCCGAGCCCCGCTCCCCCGCTCTCATCGGTGATCCATCCGAGCGGCTGGGGAGAAATCTGTTCGGTCCTTTGTTGCTGGGCCATCCGTGCCTCGTCTCCGGGTCTCGGGTCTCGGGGTGGCTGAGCAAGCTCCGGGAGGCGAGACCAAGCACATGACCCCCCCAGCATGACCCCCCTACTATATAAGTCTTCGGTGCAGGGTGTCCACATGGTTCTTTATGTTGGGGATTGACTTGATCTATCTGGGAGTCGACCTGGTCGACCTATTCATGGACTTACAGGGAGCGATGTTCCTAAGAAAGGCAGATGGACCGGTGAACAGCAACCGGAAGAAAACAACAGCAGCCGGTGTGTGGGGTCCCTTGGGTCCCGCAGCCCGGCGGCAAAGGCCTACTGAGTACTAGAAGGTTCTTTGAAAACATCGAATGTCTTCCAAATACACTGTTTGCAGTTTTGGCTGCAGTCAACCAAAGGAGAGAATCAATACTTATACTTGCTGCTGGGATGGACATGGAGTGAATCAGCATATTCTGAACTGGTCGTACGCCTTGTGGTAGTGCACCATGATAAGGATTGTTCAAAGTTAAGAAAACCTCCAATGCAGAAACAATGACACAGTCAAGGTGACATCCCGGCCCCGAAACCCTTCAACAATCACTCCGGGTTTACCTGAGGTCAAATGTCATGATTATTCTTGATTTCAGGATATGTAAGGTGTCTGTAAATTGATGACTGGCAGGTTCTTGAACTCCAGTCAAGCGGTGAGTCAAACCCGCCTCTCAAACCCATCTCCCCTCCCACATTGACGATGGACATCCCACTTCTGCAGGACAAATCAACCAGGCAGTCCATGCCGGTCAATGGAAAAAGCAAGCTTCCAAATCCACCGAGGTCCTCAATTGAAAGGGGTTGGCTGTTGACCCTCGGGCCCTCAGACGCCCAGGCGCGTTCACTTGCTCCAAGCGATTCTGCCCATTGGCGGCGTACATCCCGGGCATGGCGCGGGTGGGGCCGCTGCCCGATGGGCTGCGGGCCATCTCGGCAGAGATTCGCTTCAAAAAGGACCGTGAGGGCTTCGGGTTGGTTCAGCAGAGTTGGTGACCCACCACTTGCCCTCTAAAAAGGAGGCAAAACTGCTTGGACCTGTGGTGGGTTTCAACAACGGAACCAAATGCTTGGACTGCAGTGGATTTCACCATGTTTCACAAATGATTCTGTGATTCTGGAAGCGCGGCAAAACTCGCTTTGAAAGGCGTCTCAGACCTAAAGTACTTTCCCACCTTTCCCGTGCAGGTGCATACCTCTAGGGGAAGCATTACATGGCGAAGTTGAGAGCACATGAGAGGTCCAACTCCTCTGCAACAACCCACCTCACGCTCAATCCATTCGTTCAGTCCATGTTTCATCCTGTCAAAGGTCTTTCGGGGGGCCCTTGCTATCCTCACCCTAAATGATGCCAACTTTACCGGCTGATTTCTTGCCCGCCCATTGTTCACAAGGTTCTGACTCCCACATCTGCTCCATGGAGATGACACCTATCATGTAACATGGGGCCCAAACAGGGCACCCAAACGGGTCCCCAACCTCCCTCTTCCACCGCCCACTGCGCAAAAAGAACAGATCGGAGGCTGTGATCTCTTCTCGCCGGGCCACATCGACCCCTTGCTGCTCGAAGATGGATCGGGCGTAGATCACGGGTAAGGTGCTCACCAAGGGCAATAAGGAGGGAAGAAAGTTCCGGCAGGAGGTTTCCTCGGTTTCCGGCGAGATCACGTCACGCCGCTTTCCTCGCACCGGTCTGTAGGAGTGAGGCGAAAGGGCGAACGAGAAGAAAGAGCAGTGGCGCTTTTGGATTGGCAAACATGAAAGGAGCTTGTCTACGTAGTCTACGTATGTTCAAATCAACCAAGAACGGCAACTCGCTCTTCAGCCATTGTACCCATCCAACATCAAGAGCAGTATTAACTGGTATATCTAAATAATATCTATATATACTAATCCATACTAATCCATATCTACCTAGAGTACATGACATAGAACGCCACACAAGGCTGGTCGGTATGTTCATTCTCTTTCCAGTCATGCCCAAACACTCCAGTGGCGGTTGAAAAGGGGTCAATGATGGTATTGCATTTAGACCCCCAACCATGTATTGGAAACCGTGCCACCATGAATTTGAGGATCACTGACTTCAAGGCAAATCTTCGGAGTGCCCTTTAAGAGGGGGGAAGGAAGGAAGGAAGTTCCGCTGCGTCTCAATTACGCTCCGTCTCACAGCCTCCAACAGCTCGCTGTCCACCATGGTGTGGCCAAGTGTCCACCCAAGGATCCATGGCATTGGTCACGATCACCACCTCGGGTGATAGGTCCACGCACGTCCACGCTTCCGGTGGGAGCGGCGGAGGACCTGGCTTTTGGGATCCGATGAGACCTACAAGGACCTAAGGACCTACTACTCTACTGATGTGGTTTCAAAGGGTTCCTTGGCACTGGCACTGCCAAGAGATATTTCCTCATGACAAGTCCATCTTTTGAACCACCTACTACTTGGGAAGTGTGCCATCTACTCTCAACCTACACTCCGACTCACTAACATGGAAGTGGAAAACCCCCGGTTTGTAAAGGAAGGTAGTCTTCCAAGGGACCATTCTCCACTTCCATGTTAGTGAGTCAGAGTGCAATCATATTACCAGAAAAGAGTTGACCGGTGAAGATTCTCACCGTGGGATGAGTTGACCTATCCTTCATTCTGATGCTACATTGGGTGCATATCCCACTACCAGTGCCCAGTGGATGATGACGATTTCTTAAAGACCTTTCCCCGTTCCCCCTAACTATAGTACGTGATTATGTTTGACCGACCGTTACTGGTAATGGTACACACCCTGTAGATCGACCTCGTTTTCAACCACCCCATATGTATCAATCTGCCAGTCCGCCACGAAACCGCCGAGAAAAAGTGCCAGGGCGGCGGTGCAAACATAGGCAAATCACAGAAGTGGTTGTTGGAACACAGTAATGTAGACTCTTGACTAGTCTTGATAAGCAACCCCTCCATTTGGATTGAAGAACCTCTTCACATGGGTGGGCTATTAATCAAGGGCCACACGAGCAGTGCACTTCCCCCCGAGCATTCCTGATTCGAGTGGAGAAAACAAGCATCGAATCGCCGCTTTACCTCCCCATTCGATGTAAAACCTTGACCATGAAACCCCAACCTCTCAAATGGAGGGTGGCGCAAGGTTCCGTGAGTGCCTTGAATAGATGATCAGAAACTCAAACACATGGTCATCCCCTTCAAATGCAATGGACACAACTGTTCAAACCACCTCCATGTGATTGACTGTCTTCTAAAAATAGACGTGCCCACAAACAATCTGTCCCAGTCCCTTCCGGTGGTACCTTATAATAGTATACAGTATACCGCATTAGAGCAGCAGCTAGAGTGCTGGGATAGCAATTCCACCCACCCACACACCATGCGAGTGCCAAAAGGATATGATTTGAGATGAACCATCCCCCCTGCACACTGCAAGTGAACACTGCGTGATGATCAAAAAGCACCTGAGGTTCATCCCGCTCGTCCTGTTTCGCTCGGCGACAGGTCAGTGTTGCTCCCGAGTGGCAGTCCCCAGCTTCATGGACATCTTCAAGAGAACCTCCACCGCAGCCTGCATCACCGACGGTGTGAGGGGGGAACTATAAGAACCCCCAGGAGCTTCAAGCAGCATCGGTGGAGTCCTAAGAAATCGGCGAAGAAGGAACTTACTTGGCACTCTGGCTTCAGCAAGGGCGGATTTTCATCACTACAGCAGCCAAGCTCATGAGCGAGCCGATAAAGAATGGTGTTGGTGGTGACCGAAGTCAAGACATTCGCGATGGTCATGTCCAATTCAGCTTTGTGCACCAAGATCTCTGAACTTGGCCCCTCAAAGAGGTTATTATACTTCTATATACTTCTACTGTAGTATACTGTAGTCATGATTCAACATGCATGGGGCTCCTGCATCCCATGCACCGTCAAAGCCAATACGCACGGTCCAAGCACCAGAGCTGTATACCGGGTGCTGTTGGTTCGGTGCCGCGCCGGGATGCCTGCAACTCCCTCAGCGGCTTCTGATACTTCTCGGTGGTGGGTGCAGGCTTGAAGAAGCTTAAGACCTGCTCAGGTTAGACGGACACGAGCGGACACGAGACATGTGTGGAGACGGACGCGAGCGGACCGAAGTCACCATGCCAAAAGAAGTTATATTATACAATGAGCTCAACAATGTTTGCGGGGATGTTGTTCCAAGCAAGGGGTATGCTCTGTTTACTGGGAAGTTCTCTCAAAATTCTTGTCTATTTGGATCCACTGAGGAGGGAAGGAAGCCAGGTCGAATTGGTCGTGTGGTTGTTGGATGTCCAACATGTTCAGGCTTTTGCACACTCCCCAAGATAAACATGGAAGTGGAGTTCACCACTTGTTTGGTATTCGCAACATGGTCATGCGAAATCAAGGACATGCCGCTGCCATCCACTTCCGATGATTATTCCCAGGTATCTTCTAGGTCTGCCACAAGGCACAGACCCGAAGACGACAAACAAACGCCACACAAACCTCACCAATCGGTTTTTCACGCGAGGTGGATCTTATCTTGGAAGCCTTCCATCAGCTTTTCGGGCATACGCAAAGCCCAACGGATGCGAAAATGATTACTGTGTGACCCCTGAAGTCGAGCACAGTCGGACCACTGCTGCCTTTTCTCAGGCCTTCCCAGCAAAGCGAGGTGGTTAAAGGACCCTTTTTGCACTATCCCAGTTGGGTAACCCCAGGTGACGGGTCCTGACGGGTCCCAGGCTATCAGGTCAGGGTAGCCTCGCTGGAGTAGAGAGACTGACCACTCCACATCACGATCGCATGGTGCGGTGGCCTTCTTGTTCGCGCGGATCCAACTGGATGGGCAAAGGGTGTCATCCCAATCAAAGATAATAATGGTTTGCCTGCAGCACGATGCAGGCATCTGCAGAAAACCGATCTACTTCTGCCGCATAGACTGGAGAGGATGGAATGAATTCTTACAGAATTGTCTTGCGGACCTAAGTGGATAGGACCTACTATATGTTTAGTCCTTGCGGTCAGTCAACGTTGGGGTGGGTCTTTGGAGCCTGCAGGTCATCTACGCAGTCAAGTGGGGAATCAAAAAGCGCTTCCAAATATGTGCACGGGTCGATGAAATTCCGCTGAACCAAAGAAGTGAAAGGAGTGGGTGAGAAAAACAAGGCAAAAGGAGGCTGAATGCAACTGTGCAATCCACCCTC